ACAACACACCTGTCCCTCTCTCACCACCTTTCTTAATGGCCCATAGGGGTCTGCATTTGGAGCAGCTGCCTGACCAGCTAATTCCCTTCTAACATCTGGTAAACTCCAGAAGCAGAAATACACTGGGATGTTTGCAATGACCGAGAGGGGCCATGGGAGCAATGTGAGAGGGATCCAGACCGAAGCCACCTTTGACCTCTCTGCCCAGGTGAGGAATCTGTCCTTCTTCTGCCATCCAGGGCAGCAGAAAACCTGGACAGAACCAGATCTCCTTCTTTCTGTGTCCAGCTTCACACCCTCTGTGTGTGCTCTCTGGCCCCAGGAGCTGAGATTCGGATCAAATGTCTAAGTGTTTTAATAGAGGTGGATATGTGCTCAGCCTTCATGAACCCAACACAGCCAACATTTATATGGTGCCTTTGAGACTGAACACTGCTGCAGGCACTTGGTGTGCACTTGTGAATGTAATCCCTTGTCATAACTCCAAGAGAACAACACTAAAGCCATTTTGTTCTCGTTGCTAGCAGTAGCAGGAAAGGACTGGAGGAGATGCCTTTGTTGGTCCTCTCCCTTGTGCCCTGTGTCAGGAGGGCAGTGTGCTGGGGCCACCTTATCAGAAGCTGAGTCTTCTGTACTGGGATCACGCGCTGTCCCTCACCGTGACCTGCATTGACATTTTACATGACAACAGAAACAAGAGTGTTACCAAACAATCTGACTCTTCTACCTTTACTATGTGTGGTCAATGCTGAGGTTTTTCCTTTTCATTCTTTCTCTTCCTTTTCCTTTCGTTTTCTTCTCTATTTTTCTTCCTTTCCATTCCCTTCTTGCTAATTAAAAAGATGTTGGCTAAGTCTCTCTACATTGCTAGCTCTGTCCACAGTGGGTCACAACATACCCTGGGGACGCTGCTTTGTAACCCTCATTCCCATCTCTTTAACTCTGCACACACCCGCCCCTGCTCCCCACCAAAAAAGAAAGTGACTGTGTGCTTATCTCACTCTCCTTTATAGTTTCTTGCTTGATATTGGGTGTTCCTAAGAACTACAAAGGGATAAACAAATGTTGAGGTTCTTTCTAGAAATGAAGCTGTGTCAGTCGGTGTGTGCAAGCACGTGCCCGAGCGTGGCTGCGGGTGCCGCCTGGCCGTGTGGCTGCTCTGCTTCATCTGTTCTTTATTTTTGCAGTTTGTCCTTGAGCGTGTGGATTTTTGTTAGCGGGTTTCCTGACCCGGAAATGCTGGTTGGAGGTGGCCAGCGTCTGGAATGACAGATGCAGGGGTGGGGTATATTGGAGGATGCCCTGCTTTTCCTCCTGCCCCGATGTTAGTTCTCTCCAGCAGCCAGTGATGTCCAAGATCATAGTAAGAACGAGAATAAGCATTACCCTATACTGACCACTCACGAAGTGCCATGCTCTGTATCAAACTCCCTCTGTGTAGTTATTCTATGTTTCCTCCCAGCAACAGTTCCAGAAATGCAACATTAAACTGGTCCTGTAAACTGAGCACAGATGTGCCACGTACCAGGCTAAACAGTCTACTTGTAACATCATTTCAAATGTTCTGTAATCTTATAAAAAGGCATTATTGTCCCTACTTTAGAGATGGGGAAATGAAGGCTCATAGAGGTTAAGCAGCTGACTCTGGCTATGCAGTTAATGGTGAGTTAGGTTCGGCTGGGACTGCCCTCAGTAGCTTGGCTTTTCTGCCAGTGGTGGCGTGCCGACCTAACATCCTCTGGCTTTTGGCTGGCCGATTTTTTTCCTCTCCTGAAGCCATGGTATTGAGGTCACCTTGCTGTCATTGATGGGGGAAAACACCCACAGCTTTTATTTACTTGTTTCTTCTTACAATTATTACTTTTTTACAAAAATAATTTCCTGTGTTGGTCCCATTTTCCCCAAACAGCATAAATGACTTAGCTACCTGGCGTGCCTCAGCAGCTGCCACTGTCTGACAGGGGACCTGCAAAGTTGCAATCATAATGACGAGGGGCCTCTGGTGAACACCATCTCCCATGGGGCTGGGAGAGAGAACAATCCCATCATAAACTCATACCACCGAGAACTGACATAGCAGGAATGGATTTCTGCCTTCATTGGGTTCTGTGTTTTCCCCTTCATTTCCCTTTCAAAATGCTAGAGCTTATTAAATAAGTGTTCTGTCCCCCAGGACCATTTAAATCTCTTACATGTTTTGGTTATTCATTCTTGTGGGTTGGTTGTTTTACATTTATTTTTGGGAGGTGGATTGGGTAGTGGTATGGATAGTTAAGAGATAAGAGAGAGTTTTGTTTTTATGCTTTATTCTAAATAGCAAAAATAAATGAGGTTATGAACTCTCTGGCCAAAGGCATCATTTTTAGTGCCTCCAACACTCCCCATTTTGCTGGCCTTCAACAGATAATTATTACAGAAACCGACACACATGGTGTGCGTTATTTAGATGCAGCTTTAACGCCAGGGTTTTGGCTGATGCAAACTTTCCAAATCAAGCATTTTGCCAGAAGTGACAAACCTCCTTTCCCAGAGCGTAGCAAATGTTTATGGGACAAGTGGCCTCCTTCTCCCTTCCCCATCCCACCAGATGGTTTCTGCCAGGCCAGTGTTTCCCCTGCCACTTCACTTTCTTACCCTGGGTGTAAGCATGCCCCCACCCACATGAGTTGTATTTTTATGCTGTTATTTTTCACTGCACTCAGCCTCAAGTAATGCCTCTCCTTGAGAAGCCCTGGTTGCCCTGATAAGACAAGGGTGGCCTCCAGAGACGTCTCCTAAAAAGATCCAGCATGTCCGTTTATGTTTCTGAAAGGCTCTCGCACATGTTAAAAGTTTCCCTGTGCAAACATCTGTCAGAGAATGTTTTCTTAGGCTTCAAGACTATATTTCTTGGCCAGCGGGAAAGCGTTGTCTATGTACTTTATAGTCTGAAATCTGAGACAATCTTTGCATGATCAATAGCTTGTTGGTTTAGTTCAGTCACATCTTCAATATTGTCAGCTCCAATTAAATGTGCAGTTCCACTCTCTGCCATTTCCCCTGGGCTCCCAACTTGCCCCAGGTGCCCTGTATTCAGAGCTGGCATCAGGGCCAGTTGCTTTTTGGCCAGAGGCTTAAAGGTAACCCAGGTGGCAACAGAGATTGGGGAGAGCCAAGAAGTGAGGGGAGCATTTCCATTGTGACCCTTATATCAGCTTCCAGAGAGGAGGAAAGAGAAGACGGAGTTTTGAGTTGAGCCTGAGAACAAAACCCCTGCATTTTCTTCCTGCTTCTTCATGACCAGTGTTAGTTTCAGACTATTTTGAGCTGGAATCCTTGGACATATTCAGAGACAAACTGCATGGTACATTCTAAGATATTTCCCTCCTAGGAAAGACTCTCATTTACAAGTTCTTCTGTTTTAGGCGCTTGAACATATGAACCTCTTTTGGGAAACTTTAATTATTATATTCGTTGATCAGGAAAATAGACATTTTCAAAAGCTTAAATGAGGAATTTCTTTTTATAACAATAAAAATTGTTTGGGCTGATACTGTAAGCAGCGGTGGGGATAGGTCGTGGCTGTCTATTGGTGTTGCTTTATCCAAGCATACAGTTTTGGCCTTTGATTACTTGGCTTGCTTTTAAACAAAGACGTCATTTGTTTGGTGGAAGGCAGGAAGGTTCAGGGCCTGGGAAACAGTGAGGAACCAAGTGATTTGCCCAGAAGGAGTGAACACCGGCAGATGAAATGCAACTCACAGATGTGGACCCTGAGACAAGCCATCTAAGGGCCCAGATCATTGGATGCTCCATCCTTTCTTAGTAATCTTGCAGGTGGGCTGTTTGGAGGTGAGGGGTGTGGAGAGCTGAGCACGTACCACCAGGGCTTTTGGAGGTTTTGGTGTTGGATAGTTGAAAGGTCAAAACTTTGCTATGAAGTAGTCTAAAGAGATAATTGAAGAAAGCCTTTATACATTAAAGCCAGGCAGGCTCAGCCAAACAGCACACATGTCAGCCCGGCATTATAAAGAGGAGAGACTGGGAGGGAGAGAACGAACACCTTTTAAAGATTGAAAATTGGCAACTTATTTTCTGGATTGGATTATTCCTTGAAAAATCACTTTAATCTCCAGCCATTTTCAAAGTTGAGGTGGAGGTGGAATAAGTGAATTGAGGTGATAGCACAGTCGTGTTGGTTTCAAGACATGGAGCCAGGTGACCTTCCGGTTGTCTTCTCTTCTGCTGTGAAATCCCCTGGAAACGGCACCCTGCACCGTGTGGGTCTGTTTGCACAGTATTCATTGCCTTGAGCCGGGGAACTGAAATGAGCCATGGAAAGGGAAACACTGTTGCTCTGTTGTTTCTGTGTAGGAGTTTGTAATTGACACACCGTGTGAAAATGCTGAGAACAAGTGGGTGGATCACAAGGTCAGGAGATCGAGACCACAGTGAAACCCCGTCTCTACTAAAAATACAAAAAATTAGCTGGGCGCGGTGGCGGGCGCCTGTAGTCCCAGCTACTCGGGAGGCTGAGCCAGGAGAATGGCGTGAACCCGGGAGGCGGAGCTTGCAGTGAGCCGAGATCGCGTCACTGCACTCCAGCCTGGGTGACAGAGCAAGACTCCGTCTCAAAAAAAAAAAAAAAAAAAGAAAAAGAATATTGGAAATGCCATGTATGGGAATTACGCAGCCGTCTTTGCCCAGCTCATCGTAGATGGAAGATCTCAAGGTTTGTTACCAACACAGACAACTAGAATAATTCTCTTCATTAGTACTATTTACTGGTGAAAACCCATTTCACAGAGCTGCTTTTATCTTGTAAGTAATTCAGTACAAACTTTATCTCCTAATATGCATGAAGAAATTTATCATTACATTTTGACATTATATGCTCTCATGTGTGGTGCACAGATGTAGAACTGAGTGAGTCTGAGAATCACAGAAATGTTATACCATTCCAGGAAATAAGTAAAGCTATAGGAAGGAGAGCTTAATAATGATCTCGATGCCTTCCTTAGGGCCCCACTGTTTCATCGTTCTTGTCCGGGATGAAAATGGAAGCTTGTACCCAGGAGTGACAGCTATTGATAGGATGTACAAGGAGGGTGAGTCCCCAGGTGCCCTCCTCCTGTGCTTACTCTTCCCACCTGCTCCCCACCCCACTCAAGGAGAATGTAACCTACCTTACATTACCGAAACAGTGAGGGTGGAGAAAACTTCCCCAGAGAAGATGTCCGGATTTTGAAGCCTCATGAAGTCTTTTATGTAGAACTGTTCAGGAATGTTGTAGATTGCCTTTTATGAACGTGCATCGGTCTCAGTTTCTCCCAGCTTCTCAAATTTTCCAGTAACGAGGCAGTTTTGTCCACAGTGCTATTCTGTCTTCTCTCATCTCAGACTTGGGGGCTCTCACGGGGCAGGCTGTGGCTCTCTTCTTTGTACCCCTGGCCACCTGCCTGCTGTCTGTGCTCATGAGGCCCTTAGTGAGTACTGAGGACTGACTCAGTGCCTTAGTTTTCTAGGGCTGCCATACCACTAACTGTGGGGCTTAAGCAACAGAAGTGTATTGTCTCACAGTTCTGGAGGCTGGAAGTCCAAGATGAAGGTATCAGCAGGGTTGGCTCCTTCTAAGAGTGGTGATGAGAGGTGAAGTCAGCTGGACTTCCTGGGTTGAGTGGGGACTTGGAGGACTTTTCTGTCTTACAAGAGGATTGTAAAATGCACCAATTAACACTCTGTAGCTAGGATTGTAAAACACACCAATCAGTGCTCTGTGAAAACACAGCAATCAGTGCTCTGTAGCAAGAGGATTGTAAAATGCACCAATCAATCAGTGCTCTTTAAAACGTACCAATCAGTGCTCTGTAAAATGCACCAATCAGCGCTCTCTAAAATGCACCAACCAGCAGCAATCTAAAAGTAGCCAATCCTGGGGAGGATTGAAAAAAGAGCACTCTGATAGGACAGAAACAGAACATGGGAGGGGACAAATAAGGGAATAAAAGCTGACAACCCCAGTCAGCAGTGGCAAACCGCTCCACCCTGTGGAAGCTTTGTTCTTTCACTGTTCACAATAAATCTTGCTGCTGCTCACTCTTTGGGTCCGTGCCACCTTTAAGAGCTGTGACACTCACCACGAAGGTCCACGGCTTCATTCTTGAAGTCAGCAAGACCATGACCAGCAGGAACCAACTCCAGACACAGTGAGGAAAGGATTTGTTCTAGGGCTCTCCCTTTGGCTTGTAAACGGTTGTCTTCATGTTAACTTGGTGTTCTCCCTGTGTGCATGCCTGTCTCCAAATTGCCCCATCTTATAAAGGACAGAAGTCATTTAGATTAGAGCCTACCCCAATGACCTCATTTTAATTTGATCACATCTGTAAAGACTCTATCTTCAAATAAGGTCACATACACAGGTATAAGGATTAGGGCTTCAATACATGAATTTTTCGGGGGGTAGGGGGACACAATTTAACCCATAACATTTGGTGAGATCAGGACATGCCTGTATGCTCCAGTGACCGCTCATGGCCAAGGTCATGCCAAGCCAAGAAAGGGGAGAGAAGGAAAAAAAAGAAGGAAGAGCAGTAAGAGAAGGGGGAAGAAGTGGCCCATCCTTTGGTGGAGGGGACAGTCCATCCTGGCCCCTTAGTGTTTACTGTCCACTGCCACGACTGCAGGCATGGCTGCAGGTGGGTTTGTGAGGGTTTTAGATGTATCTCCCGGAGGTGACCGAGACCCTGGCTGGGCTGGGCTCCTTGAAAGTTCCTTGCATGTCAAATATTGCTGAGAGCAGAGGGGTAGGCTGAGTTCTGTGAAGTCGTGCCAGACATTGAAAATGCTGGCAATGGCAGAGAGTCTGCTCTGGTGCCCTTGTAAGCTGCTAAACGCACGTGTGTCCTTGTCAAGGGGTGAAGCTCTGAATAAAGACGTTTACTAAAGACAGATTTTTTTTCCCCTAGATTAAATCTCTCTAAGTTTTCACAAAGAGAAGACCCCAGACTCTGGCAGGTGTCTTTAGGAAATGTGTCTGCCAGATTTCAGGACCACCCCTCCCCGCTACCCACTGCTTCCCCCATTTCCTGCTGTCCTTGTGGCTGTTTTCCCTTGTCTTGTGGGCGTTTGCTGTCAACAGTTTGCTCTGTGTGCAGAGGAGAGAGCACTGGGAAGGGGGAGGGATTTGAGCACTGCATTCCTGGGGAGAGCAAGCCTGCTTCCCTGCCTCTGTCTTCAGCTTCCCATTCTTGCAGTTGCTTAGAACTCTCCCTTTTTTTTTTTTTTTTTTTTTTTTGAGACGGAGTCTGGCTCTGTCACCCAGGCTGGAGTGCAGTGGCTGGATCTCAGCTCACTGCAAGCTCCGCCTCCTGGGTTCACGCCATTCTCCTGCCTCAGCCTCCCGAGTAGCTGGGACTACAGGCGCCCGCCACCTTGCCCAGCTAGTTTTTTGTATTTTTTAGTAGAGAAGGGGTTGCACTGTGTTAGCCAGGATGGTCTCGATCTCCTGACCTTGTGATCTGCCTGTCTTGGCCTCCCAAAGTGCTGGGATTACAGGCTTGAGCCACCGCGCCCGGCCAGAACTCTCCCTTTCTTAATCACAGTCACTGCTCGGGAGGTAGGTGTGCATCCACTGCATGCCCAAAGCGTGCAGGCTGCACAGAAGGAAAGCCCATTCTCCTCCATTCTCGCTAGGGAGGAAGGGGCCAGGCTGGTGGAAGAAACAGGTACAGCTCATCAAGGAAACAGCAGACAGCATCCCCATGTCCATCCCAAAGGAAAAAGCACCAGCAATTCTGGAAGTAAAATAAGGGGCTTTCTATTTTAGTGGCAACAGGCCTGGGAAGTAGCAGGGCAAATACTTCTGATGCTGCATCCATTCCCCCTTTCTATTCTTACGAGGTCTGCATGGTGTGGACAATGGGATGGTAATATTTGACAAGGTTCGGATACCCAGGGAGAACCTGCTGGATAAGTGAGTAGTTTCTCCTTTACTCAGGTCAATGGTGCAGATGACCTCACTGCTCTCCAAAGTTGGCTTGGTTCTTGGGTCTTGTGGGCTGTGTATCTGGGCAGTCTACCCCTAACTACCCCTACAGGTTTGTTGACAACTAATTGGAAAAGATACATCTGCAGATAGAAAAAAAAAAAGTAAAATTATTCAACATGCTGTTGTCCAGACGTAATGACCATTACACTTCAATATATGTCTTTCCAGGCTTTTCTCTATGCCCATATGTCTAAAGAGAGAAAGGTGTCAGATTTTTACTAAACGAGATCCACTTCTAGATTCTGTGTTTAAAATAACCTGTACTTTCCATTTACCATTATATAGCAAATGCTTTTATGTAATGTTAAGCACTCACATGCATTATCATCTTTAATATCATTATAATAGACTGTTAAATAAATGGTTTATAAGTTATATAATCAATTTCTTATTGTTGGACATTTAGGTTTTTTCCTCCCCTCCCCCCATTATAAACAGATGGGTGCTATTGCTTCCTTTGTGAGTGGCAGGGGATAAGGCACCATCTTTCAGCTTGCAGGTGTGTTCTGGGGGTGGAGCTCTAGGGGTTAATGATGCTTTTCACAGAAGCTGAGAAACACCAAGTACTTTTAATTTTCTCAGCAGCGTTTCATGCATCCAATAAAAATCTTGAGCCATAGTCATGTTAAATCTGTGACGAAGCCAGCAATCAGGGTGCACACAACCAGCTGTCTTCCTGACTCCCCATGGATTTCCCTTGAATGCTTTGCTCCTTTTTGTTGCCAGCAGATACGTGTAGTGGATGCCAAAAGCTTAAGAAAATTGTATGGGAAAAAAACTTAAAAATGATTGGTCCAACAGACCCCCATGACACAAGTTTAGCTATGTAACAAACCAGCACTTGTACCCCTGAACTTAAAATAAAAGTTAAACAAATGGAGGGATAAGGAAGTAGAGGATAGAATAGTGGTTACCAGGGGCTGGGAAAGGTAGGGAGGAGGAGGGGATGGGGAGAAGTTGGTCAGTGGATACTGTCAGAGTTGGATTGAAGAAGTAAGTTCTGGTGTGATATTGCACAGGGTGATATCGTTAACAATAATGTGTTGTATATTTCAAAATAGTTACAAGTTTTGAATGTCCTCATTCCAAAAAATTGATAAATGCTTCAGAGGATGAATATGCCAATTACCCTGATTTTATTATTATACAATATATACATGTATCAAAACATCACACTGTATTCCATCAATATATACAGTTATTATATGTCAATTCATGAAATAAAGCAAAAAGAAAAAGAAAAAAATCTTAAAATGGACCGAATTCTGCTTAACATTTTCCTCCTGTGAATTGATAGGAAATAAAATGGAAGCAATAAAAGCATCTTCACAGTTATCCTGGTGGGTGCTAAAGTTCCCCAGGCCCCTTCAGGACCACCACCATTCATATGGAAATGCGAGAAACTCAGAATAGCTAAAACAATCTTGATAAAGAAGGACAAAGTAGGAGGACTCACACCTGTGATTTGAAAACTTACTATAAAGTAATCAAGACAGTGTGATATTTGCATAAGGATAGATATATGTACAATGGAATAGAATGAAGAGTCTGGAAATAAATCCCTACAGTTACAGTCAATTAATGTTCCACTGCAGAGCCAAGACAATTCAATGGGGAAAGAATAGTCTTTTTGACAAATGGTGCTGGGACAAACTAGGTAGCCACGTGCAAAAGCATGAAGTTGGACCTTTACTTCCTACCATATACAAAAATCAACTCAAAATGGATCACAGACCTAAATGTAAGAGCTGAAACTACACAACGCTTAGAAGAAAACACAGGTGTGAATTTTTGTGACCTGGGTTTAAGCAATCTGTTAGACATGGCACCAAAAGCACAACTAACCAAAGAAAAAATAGATAAATTGGACTTCATCAAAGCTGTAAAAAACTTTTTTTTGCATCGAAGAACACTATGAATAAAGTGAAAACCTACAGAGTGGGAGAAAATATTTGTAAATCATATATATTAATATCACAAGGGTATAGTATCCAGAATATAGAAAGAACTATTACAACTCAAGAATAAAAAGACAAATAACCCAATTTTAAAATGAGCAAAAATCTGAATAGACATTTCGCTAAAGATTTACAAATGGCTGCTAAGCATATGAAAAGATGCTCCACATCACTGCCATTAGGAAGATACGAATCAAAACCACCGCGAATACCACTCTGCACCTACCTCCCAAAGTGCTAGGATTACAGGCACAAGCCACCATGCCCAGCTGATGTCTCTTATTAAAGGGACAGACAATAACAAGCATTGGGGAGGATGCAGAGAAATTAAGACTGTTTGTTATACATTGCTGGTAGGGCTGCAAAATGGTGGCACCAACTAGGAAAACAGTTTGGCCATTCCTGAAAACTGTAAAGTTACCATCTTATGACCAGCAATTCTACTCCTAGGTATGTGTGAAAACATTGTCCACAAGAGAATTGCAAACATATATCCACACCAGAAATTATACACAAATGTCAGTAGCATAATTATTCACAATAGCAAAAACGGGAAAATAATCCAAATATCCATCAACTGAGGAAATAGGAAATAAAATGTGGTATATCCATACAATGGAATACTATACAACCATGAAAAGAAATGAAGTACTGACATGCTACAACACAGATGAACCCTGAAAACATGTGAGTGAGAGAAGCCAGACATAAAGACCACATATGATATGATTCCATCTATGTGAATTTTTTCCCAGCACAGGCACCATAGAGAGAGAAAGTAGGTGAATGGTTACCAGGGGCTGGAGGGAGGGGAGTATGGGGAGGGACTGCTAGTGGCGTGGGGTTTCTTTTTGGGGTGGTGAGATGATTTGGAATAGGATCATGGTGATGGTTGTACAATTTCATGGCTATACTCAAATCCATCAAATTGTACACTTGGAAGGGATACATTTTATGGTATGTGAATTACATCTCAGTTTTCAAAAAGTGGGTCAGTGCGCGGTCTGCACAGTCAGGCTCCGGTGCTGGTTTAATGTCTCAGGAAACCACTACCTCCCTTGAGTCAAGCCTTTCTCAGCATCTCTTGGAGAGGGACTCCCCCTGCCCTTATCTGCTCTCTGTCTCAAGGGGGAAGTTCCACGATGGGGAAATCCGAGGGCTTCCCTGCGTGTGCACATGGGAGCCACCTGACGTCATTTCTGGTGGTACTATGTCCTGCTTTTTTGTGAAACCCCCCCTCTCTTTTCCACAGGTTTGGTTCCGTGGCTCCAGACAGACAGTACCATTCCCCTACGAGGAACAAGAGCGCAAGATTCAGTGCCATGCTGGCAGCACTGACCCCTTCGAGATTAGCTGTGGCTTTCCAAGCTATGGGTGCCATGAAGGTAGTTGACTCTGATTTTAATTTGTCTACTGTGAATTCTCTTGTGGCTCAGGGATGAGTAACAATTTCAGGAGCTGAGCTTCTCGAACCACAGTTGGTATAATATGGCCAGGGTTCCCGGTTAGATGCTGGGGAGTGCCAGGTGGCCATCCACAGGGAACATTTCTACACCCTTCTTAAGAGGGGATCCCGCCCATCTACATCCCAGATGTGTGCTGCTCACCCTGGGGGTGGAGCACAGGCATCGTGGTAATAGAGCCAGGAGAGATGACCGGGGAGAACGGGATGTTCTGAGCAAACACATCTGCTGGAGAAGCAGCTAAGGGTTGGCCCATGTGTGCAAAGGTTGGTGTGTCTTGGCTGAATTCACCCGGGAGTGTTGATCCTCATGTGTCTGTAGAGGGCGTAACATTCTCCCATCACAGTCTGGAGGCCATGAGGCCAGACCTCCGGGAGCCATCTCTGCGTCCCTGCCCTGACTCTCCCGCATATTGGTTTGGACAGAGGAGCCTGGAGGGCAAAGCTCTGGAAGGGCCTCCTTCTCCTCCCCAGGGCCTCAGGCTACTTTGTTCTCTGGGCCTTCTCTGTCTCTTTGCATGAAGGAAAAGCCTGCTTTAAGCTCCACTGAGCTTGGTGAGGCTGGAAGAAAAATTAAGTCTCCCCAGGAATATACATCTGGGGCTTGAGTCCAACTTTTCCATCAAGAAGGAATAAATTTCATTCACTTGACTCCAGGCCTGACATCAGCCCGGAGTCGTCTGAATAGCAGGAAAGCCCTTTACTTGCTTCGGTGTCGGCCACGCTTCACAGATGGCCTGCCCTGACCCAGGCTTCCCCTTACGGTGCTTCCTGTGAGGGGCACAGCTGTGGCCATCAGCATGTGTACTCAGCCTGGCCTCGCGCCCGCCCGTGCACCCCAGTTCCTGTGCTTGTTTTGTGGTGGTTCTTTCAGTGGGGCCAGGTGGGTGTTCAGGTCTGGAGTCCCATGTCAGGAGGGGCTCAGGACCCTTGGCTGAACCGTCTGAAATTGAATGGGGCCCCAGAGAGCCTTGCAAAGGCATCAGCACAGACAGCAACAGAGTGCGGAGGAAAACTGGTTCCTCAGGTCTGCAGTCGAAGCCATTTCAGCCATCCTCAGGACTCCAGAGAGAGGCAAAAATAGAAAAGCCAGACGAGCCTAGGATTGCGTGGAAGGCAAGATTGGTTAAACATCAGATGCAGGGTTAGCTGAAGCCGTGATAGCAGTCTCTGCACAATATCCCCTCTAATTGCAGTAGCCTGCAGACCGTCCTGACTCAGGGGCCCTCTGAGGAGAGTGCTGGGTGCATATAAAAAACTCATGGTGGACAGTGGCCAGGCAGGCTGCTGGGAAACCCCGCTCTTGTTGGTTTTGATGGGGTGATGATGTGTGAAGGACGTCCACGCCGCCAGCAGCCCTGCAGGCTCATTGAGGTCCACAGTGGGGTTGCGTGGGACGAGGCGTGGGGTGGCGCAGACCAGACCAGGCGGAGGTGGGAGCCTTCCAGGAGGGCTTTGGTTTTAAATATCACCAGATCTAGAGCAGGGTGGGAGTGGTGTCTCAGGGAGAGGAGCCAGAGTGAGTGATTCCTAAAAGGTTCATGTTCTCCTTTCTACTGGATATTATCATGGGCCAGCCCCTGCCAGGCCCAGGAGGGTCTTGGGGGCCACATTCACATCAGTTCCCTTATTGGTTGTCTGATGTGCAGACTTCATTCCTGGCAACACAGAGACGTGATCATGATCACGGGCAGGAAAGCCCTGGGCTCAAGTCTCATCCTGCCCATGACCAGCAGTGGGGCTGTGAACAGGCCATAGCACTCCCTAGGGCTCAGTTTCTTCATCTGTGAAATGGGTCTTAGGATGGTGGTGAGGCGTGAGTGAAGGGCGTGTGTGCAGCGCTGGCCCAGTGCAATGCTCCATAGCTCGCGGCTGCTATTTGTGGGATGGTGGTTGTTGATGCTGCTGCTGCTGCTGCTGCTGCTGCTGCTGCTATTACTGGGAGGACAGGAGTTGGCTAAAGGAAAGGAAGACATGGGCATTCCCATGAAACAAATACCTGGTATCGTGGCCTCCAAGTAACAAGGCAATATGCAGTGTTTTGCAGAAATGCATAGCGTCCTTTGAATTCCCGGGTGTCTGAAGCAAACCATAGTAACCTGGAATTAGTATCTGCCCTGCCCATCCAGAACTTGCCAGGCGATGGGATTGTCAGGCAGTGGGAAGACCCTGCACAGAGCCGAGCGGGGCTCAGACCCCGTGTGGTCCAGGCACCCTGCCGGACGGCGACCCGGGCCGCTGTGATCTCATCTCCAGCGTCTCTGGCGAGGATGATCTCACCGGCCCTCTTGGCAGCTCCTCCTCTCCTATGGCTCAAACACATGACATATGTTTTCCCGGCTGAAACCTAAGATGGTCCTTCTCCTTCTGCTCTTGCTGATGAGTGGAAAAATGGATCCGTTTCTCCTACGTGCGTTCCTTGTGTATTAGAAAACTGTCACCGCAGCTCCCCACAGTGACATTCACTCAAGGCTGAGCGTGCCTGGTCATTTTGAACTTTGCCCAAATGTCATATTTTTTCTTGGTTCTCTTTCATTTCCATGGCATTCCTCAGAACTTTCAGGTTTTCTCTTAAAGCCTTGCCGTATTAACCATCATCTAATTTGTGTCAGAAATGCCAGGGCAAATTCAATGATTACCAAGAACACGAGGAAAAGGAAGCGAATGTGTTTGGGAGGGGAGGGAGTGGGGGCTTGGGAGCCTGTGCCGGGATGCTGGGAAGCCTTTTCAGAAGGAGGAGGAAGCTGGGGCACCTGAGAGAGTGAGCAATGTAAATGAGGTCTGGCCCACTTCTCTTGATTTTGCACGGAGGTGAATATTTTAGCTAAGACAAGCTCCTCTTGTAAATTTGGTGCTGCACAGTAGCTGGTTCCCACCCCCAGGATGTGTGATTCCGCAGCACTGGGGTGGGGTGGAAAATCTGCATTTCCGGGTTCCCGGGTGACACTGCTGCTGTGGGCTCTGCTCCTTGAGACCCCTGCACAGAACACATGGATGTGGTTGTGAAATATCAGCACTGTCTCAGCCCCCTTGTCACCCTCTGGGTCCCCAGGATCAAGGCCCAAGTTCTCTTCCTGTATCCAGGATCCTTCATGACCCTTCACTGTACCCTCTCTCTCCACTGGCCTCTGTCGCTCTGGCCTCATTTCCGTCTCTCCCCTGTGCCTCCGCGGGAGGGGGTTCACCCATGCTGCCGTCCTGCTGGAGATGCCCTCCTTTTGCATGGGTAATTTTCATGTACATTTCAGAGCTTGTATGACTGTCCCCTCTTTGGAAAGGCCTCAGCCTGCGTGTGGTTCCTCTGTCACCTGTTCCCAAGGCACTGGACTCCCCACTTGCAGCATGTATTACAACTCATGAGTGTAACAACTCATGTGCAATAGATGGGCTGGGTCTCCTTCACGAGCCTAAAAGCTCCACGCAATCGGGGCCCTGCCAGCCTCATCCGCTGCTCTGCGCTCAGCTTCACACACAGGGCTGGGCACACAGTAGACACACAGCAAATAGGAGTGGAAAGAGTGAATGAGGTCTGAATCAGGATTCACATCCGAAGCCCCGGCATAGCTCTTAGCAGAGGGAAGCCCTCAGTGCCTGTTGGTTCTTGTGCTCCCACATTCCGACCCCCACTTCCGGGTCCACGTTGAGTGGGGAGGAGGATGTTGCTGCCTCTTTGATCTAACTCCACGTGGCCCTTCTGTCCAGAATCAGGAATCTTCTTTCTTTCTTCCTCTCTGCCCCAGACACTGCTCCCCATAGTATGTGCTTCACGTGTACGCACTCGTGCCTTGTGCTGCAATCAGGCACTGGGGTCGTGCTCACCTACACTTGGCAGTGTGGCCCTGGTGGTCTGGGAGTGTGCCCAGGGCTGGGGCTGCAGAGTCCGCATGCTGAGTGCAGCCAACATTCTGGGCTGTCTTTTCAGGCACATGGGTGCTGGGCGACAGACAACTCAGCCAGTCCTCGGGACCCGAACGACCATCTCCAAGTGGTACAGGTGCTGCATGTGAGATAGGGGTAGCTTTTCCCAGCCCCAGGAGCTTCAGGGAGAGCGAAGGGAAGACACTGGCTTCAGGGGATTCTCAGGACCGGCGATAGACACAATCTTTTCCTACAGTGTGCATTGTTGGGTGTAAGTGAAGAGTCTCAGCAAGGCACGGGGGAGTCTCTCCCTCCTGTTGATGGGGGTTTGAAATGGGATATTGCATCCTCAAGTAACCCTTTTGTGACCTTCTGACTGCAAGGGTTCATGGAAGATTTGAGCAATGGAGAGGAGGTTGAGGGCATCTGAGTCCCCTTGAGAGCCAGCAGGGGTTGGTCAGTGGCCAGCGTGGACCCTTCTCACTGCGCAGGGAGTGGTGGTGTGGCTCTGTAGGCCTGTGCTGTGTTAGGTGAGCACAGCAGGCTGCATGCGGCCACGGCTGTGGGGTCTTGCTTGGGATTGCCCCATCGCCCAAGCTCTGACACAGCTCCAGAGAGGTCCTGATGTTGATATCCTCACCGGGGTTTCTGGCTCCTGGTCATCCGGCTCTCCACCTCTCTGCCTGTGTGCTTCAGCTACTGGCTGGGGCTGGGGCAGATTAGCAGGTGTCAGAGTGTGACATTCTATCTGTCCTAATGGCCACAAACCAGGTGCCATGACACTTCCTCCTGCGCAGAAGGTTACTCAACCTCCTCACATCAATCATCTCAATGTTTGTGGCTATTGCCGTAACACCATCAGGCTTTTGTCTGTTTTCTTTTTGCTTGGGGATCACCTACTTTTATTTTCTTCTGGAATCACTTTGTGTTCATCTGTTCTTGTCATAGGTTGATCTCATTTTGTATTATTACTAACACAACCTTTAGTGGGCAGGGATTATTTTCTTATTTAGTCTCTGCAAGGCCTAATAGAGCCCTACATGTCATGGAAATCATTTTACTCTT